CAGACTTCCATTTGTTCTCTTATAGTCCTTTTTCATACAGTGTCATATATAGGACCTGTATTGATAGCCTGTTTTCTTTTATTTATATCTAGAAATAATATAGTGCAATTACTGTTCTGGAATGCAGATCATGATTGATTTGAAAAAACAAAATTTCCCATTTTTTGGGTGATATGTAAAAAATGTGAGTAGTATCATTATTATGCTCTGTTTGAAAATCTATTAATTCTCCAAAGGATCTTCTGCACCTTTCTTCTACTATGCCTCTGCATAGTAGGTGGCCCAAAATTCAGTAATCTAAGCTCAGGTAGAATTTGAGGGTAGAATTTGAGACATTGCTGTGCCTGGTACCTCTTATTTGTTACTGCTAGGCTGATTTTCCATATTTCCTTTTAAGCACTTTCAAATCCCCGCTGCTTTGACAATCTTGTGCGTGAAGTCTGTTTTTTCACTAACATCCAAGTTAATCCTAAAACAGATTTTTGAAAAATGTTTTGCTGTACTTCATAAAGAACTCTAAACAAAACATGAATCATAGGAAACTCTAAACAAAACATGAATCTGTGAAAATGCAAATACTGAAAATATCAAATGAGAAATTATTAGAGGGGACCTGTGGATCTCTGTGGGTAGGTATTACCAATTGCTAAACTCTCCTTTCAGTTATGATGAGCATGCCTGTTACTAGGTTCTCCCAAAAAAAAATGCAAATATCTGTCAAGACATGAAAGCATGAACCTGAAACAACATAGTCAATATTGCAATGCTATCACAGTCATAGAGTCATAAACCATATAAGTTGGAAGTGACCTTTATAGATCTAGTTCAACCCCAAAATGTTTTCAAATTTATGAAATGCAATTTATATGGCCCTAAAAACAGCATAATTTTTAAGTACTTGCACTTTGAAATAGTCTTCTCTTATATGGCCACACTTTTTCTGACATATTTTCCCACCTAGCCTCTCGTTCAGTTAATATCATAGAAAGCTACATTTTATTCGCACTAAGTTTTTAAGACTAGGGATTTTTCTATTGCCAAGAATCCCAACTATGATTTGAAGAAAGAAGACTTTCTTTACATGATTTTAAGGGTGATCAACACTTGCTAGCATGCTGAAGTTTTTTAAAGGCATCAATACATCCACTTTTATAACACTACTTTTCCATTATCTCTCCAGTAGGTACGTGAAACAGATGCTAGAATGAACAATATAATGTTCTGTCCATGTTTAAACAAGTTATGCATGAGATTTTGCACCTTTTCTTTAAATATAATACGTAACTTAAATGCCTCGACAGAATTTTTTTCAGAATTTCTACCAGAAATATCCACGTTTTTAAGGCACTTATTATAGACTGTAGGGACCCACTAAAATTCAGATAACTATTTTGCCTGTCATACCATGGATCTTCATGGCACAGTAAGTTTAGGTCATTGTTCAACTCCCCAAACTCCATTCTTAAATTCTTTTTCTTGCTTACTAGAAAAACCACTAGAACGTCTTTTACTGCAACCTTATTCTGCCAGAATTTGTTGAGATCAAACTTGCAGAGAAATGTGATATTTCCATGAGACCATAAGAAGTTCATTTTCCCAACTGCTTTTTACTAGCTGTCATATCTTTTTCTTTTTTTTTTTTTGCTTGTTAGTTTTAGGCTTGTTCACACCCTTTTCTAAGGAGTAGTATCACAAAATCCTCCACCTTTGAGTTCCCAAGGACCATTATTCAGCTGCCTCATCCCAGGCACCCTGAACTAGGAGACTGGGGATTTTCTAAAATCTGTTTTCTCCATTTTCAAAACTATTTCACTAAAAATTTTCCCCACATATTCACCTGGAGATAGTTCTTTAGCTCACCTCCAGTTTAGTTACATACAGTTGAAATCTTACAAGTGCTAGTCTCAGACCAAAAAGTTTGTTGCGTTAAGCATGAAATTTAGCCAGTGAGGCCCATTACCCTCCTGTTTCCAATTTTTGGCATCTTCTGTAGCATCCATGTGGCAGCCTCTGCTCTGCTCTGCTCTGGCCAGCAAGCCTCTGCACGCTGCCAGCTGTGCCAGCTCCTGGAGAGGTGCTGGAGGGCAGCAGAGATGACCTCCAGCTCCAGGGGCTCAGCCAGGAGGGGCCCAGCCAGAGGTCTCCAGCTCAGCACAAAAGCTGAGGTGGCATCTCTGTGCTTTTCCTGGCCAGCAGCCACACAGACAGCCAAGAGGTTTGTGTAGATAAAGTCTAGGAAGCAATAATTTGTTCATGATCATCATGAGATTATCAAAGATTTGTACATGAACAAGCAAAAACGACAAGTATTGCACTATATAAACACTTGATCATGCTTCCTCAGAGGCAAAGAATTCTCTTTCTTAGTGCCATGTGAGTTATCACCTGCAGGTATTCATTTATCATTGGCTTGAAGCTCCTTTCCTTGGAACTGCAGTAGAAAGGTAATTTATTTGTACAAAAACTTTAAACAGCCTATTAATATGCTGTTAAAATATGATTATTGTATAGCTTTTCTTACTTTTTCAAAGAAACTCTTTCCTGGAATTTTTTTATAGAAATATTATACCAAAAGAAATATTTTAATAATAAGTTTGTCAAAGACCACTCATTTTTCCAGTTGACATTTTGTTAATTATCTCCTAAATGTCACTAATATTAGGAGTTTTTACTCAAAAAATTGCTTCTGACTTGTAAGTGTTCTGTCTTTGATTTATTACTCATTAAAAAGCCACTTATAAGTGCAATAAGTGAATATGAAACTGATGTATATGTATTTACAGTGAACAATGTTGTTCTTGGTTTTGGTTTTGGGTTTTGTTTCATTTTTGTCTAATTTCTTTCTTTCCTTCTGTTTATACTTCATAACTTCAATTTTATTTATTTATTTACTTATTTATTTATTTGTTCTTAGTTAATGGCTCAGCTTCTTTTTGTTTGGTTAAAATCTGAGTTACTCAATGTCGCACCAGGTTAGACACAAAAGCAGTTTACAAGAGGTGGAAAAAGACAGCCAGTGATACCTTATAAACTGTGATTTTAAATGCTGGCAAGCTGTTAGAGAAAGTGACGGAAATTGAATTTCCCTGGACAATTGCACCTGAAGAACATTCACAAAAGTCATTGATTGCTACAGAAAAGACAACATGATGTGTTGCATGAGTTAATGCATGTATTTACTCTATCATTTCCAGTATTGAAATCCCTGTGTAAAAGTATGCACTGGGAGATCTTGGTACTAAGATACAGAGGATATAGATAACTGGCATTTGTGTTTATATTCAGAACCAGACATTGTTAGTCTTAGAGGTCATGTCACCACCCTCTTCTTCGCAGTGTAGGTCTAACAAACATGGTTTTAATCTGTATTTTTAAAATCCAATAATTATTCAGTGGATTTTCTTAGGGGAAAAAAAGTATTTTCTGAGAAAAAAAATGTTTTTCTATCTCTCTCAAAGACAAAAGACAAAAAGAACAAAAAAGTTGCAGTTACAGTTTACCTCTAACAAATCAACAGAACTCAGAAAAGTCAGGTGAAAAGTAAAATTCTCCACATTGGTTATATTTCTTATAACAGAAGTAGTTCTGTGTGACATTGCTTTTACTATCCTATTCATATATTTTCGCTGCTAAATCAGCTATATTACATCTTGAAGTTGTAGTCCTTCAATAAGCATGATTTATAGAAGACTACTCGACTGAATTACAGCTTCTGCAACAAAAGGACTAAAAAAATACTCTCTAATAACTTCTGTTCTTTTGCTGAACTGGGGGTATTTGCTTAAGTTGTGTATTTAGGATTATGCTTATGCAGCAAAATATTCCCAGGTCAAATATACTTCAATAAAAATAATAATTATTATTATTTTTACTTTCTTGCTTTTTTATTCTTTCACTCCCAATACATATACTTATGTACACACATATATATATGAAGCGGAAGTTGTTAATTTTTTTTAACTTTACTAATTTTATAATATTTTAGAACACCTTGAACTCAAGCATGTATTATAATAAATTACTTGGTTAAATGCTGTACACTGTAAAAAAAAAAAAAAAGCACAGACAAAAAGAATTTATACATTTTTTTAGTTATATCTAGAAGAAACCCACAAAACTATCACTCTTCATACCTCAGCAGAATACAGACATGTTAGGAAATATGACTCTCTCTAATCATATGTCCCAGTGAGCACTGGAACCTAGTGCTTTCCTAAAATGCTTTGGGAAAATTCAGTGCCCTTTATCCCTCTGAATCTTTAACTCCAATTCATGGTCAGGGCACCTGCTTATTAGCAGGAAAATAGTGCAAAGGGAAGAAATGCTTATATGGTAACTCTTCATTATTTTTCTTAATTATTTAATTTAACCTTAAATTTATAACATGTAAACTCATTTTTAGCAAGAATGGACATTTTTCTTTCCTTTTTTTTTTTTTTGTGTTGGAACCATTGGTTCACATAGAGACCAAGCTGCTTGATTTAACTAGGTAGAAGTAGAAGTAATAGCTTTTATACTGAGACACAAAATGTGGAATTAACTGGTGTCTAACATAAATGACATTTCTGTATATTTCAGCTCTTCATATACAACCAGCTGGAAAGAAGGCAGAAAAAATTCTGGGAATACTGGATAAAAACAGTAGTTGATGATCTGTCACAAAATAATTTCCTTTCCTCAGTAAGATGTTCTTTAGAAGGTGATATAAGAAGATTAAGATGATGGATAATGTTATTGTCACAATCTAAAGAGTATTTCACTGGTCATATATGTAAGGATGAAAGTCACCTGGAACTTCAGTTTTTGTCTCTGCAGTTTTGATATATTTTGTTAAGGCCCAACACAAAAAAATTAACCTAAATTAAAGCAGCCATGCACCATAATAATACTGATTCTTTCTTATCTTTCATATCACATCGGAACAGTGCTGACTGAGCACTTTTACCAACTTAAAAAAAATATAATAAATATAATATAATATAATATAATATAATATAATATAATATAATATAATATAATATAATATAATATAATATAAACATAACATAACATAACATAACATAGCATAATATAACATAACATAACATAATCAACAATATAAACAATACAACCAAATGGACAAATAAAGATGCTGTTTCAGAATTATTTGCTACACAGGGAAATTGCTGTTTCTTATGAAGGCATTTCTCTTTTACTATTTTTCTTTACCTGTAAAAAAAACACTTATTAAAAATATTTCAACCTTTGTGATGAAGTGTCTTCATTAATGACCTTGGTAATGGGATGGAGCACTCTCTCCATGAGACTGCAAACTTGACTGGCTGGAGTGCTCACTCAGCTGTAGGTTCCGAATGGCTTTGCCAGGCTGGAGAAATTGGTTGACAGAAAAGTCATTAAGTTCTACAGAGGCAAGTGCAGAGCCTTGCATCTGTGATGAAATTACCACATGAACAGTAGAAATTGGATAGACAGCAGTGCCAAGGGAAATGAGCTGATGTACATATTGAATGAGTTGAATCCTCCCAGCAAAGAAGCCAAGCTGTTGCCAGTAGCCTTAGGGTGGTGAAACTTTCCAGATGTTCAACACTTGTAAGACCCCATCTGGAGTATTGTGTCCAGTTGTGGTCTCTCCCACACAAAAAACCACATTTCATATTGGAACAAGTCCAGTGGAAAGGCAACAAGATGATTGAAGGTTCATTACTCAGAAGGAAAGGATGAGACAACCGAGGTTATTCAACCTCAAGAAAACAAGGCAACCAATGAGCGGTGAAGAGAGAGTCAGACTCTCTGCTCCAAGGTGCACAGAAAGAGAGACAGTCAATAAAAGTTGGAACAAAAAAATTCTTACTGAATACAAAAGGAATTTTTTTCTCATAAGGATGGTCAAACACTGGGACAGGCTGCCGAAAGTTGTTGTGGTATCTCAATCACTGAGTTAAAAACTGATTTGTACATGTGCCTGAGCAATCTTATCTAATTGGACCTTCTGTGAGGGGAAGATCAGGCTAGGAGATCTCCATACATCTCTGTAGCATAAAATATTCTACATTTGGCGCTTCATTACAACTTTTTTACCTCTTCAGCTTTTATTTTTTTTTCATCTATCATTCCATCAGAGTTCCTAAATAGTATGTCAATTCTAGTTGCTAGTCTTTAAATAGCCAACAATTCTTCCCTTTTCTTCATATTGTATCAGACTCAAGCCTTCTGTGCTGCAAAATAATGAAAATGGAAGGAATAAAATTATAACATGACAGCATTATGAGATCTCTGACTCCTGCTGACTGTAAATGTGTATCTCCTTCAAAATTGGGATTGTAGTCGCAGCTGAAATCCTCTGAAACGTGACATACATTCTTTTTACATTTTAATGGACAAATCTGATTTGTGAAATCACATTACTGTCCCTTTACAGCATAGAATCACATACACTGTCCATTTTATTACTGTCCTTATGTACAATCAGGCCTTTGAAAGTTTGTAGACAAGGAATCAGAAACCTGATTAGAATAAATGGATTTTGATCTTGTCAGTATTGTAGCACCACTGGTTAGTTACTTCTAAACTGCTACTGCTGTCTCCTATTGTACTCATATATGTACACAGATATCAATGTTAGACTTGCCTGCTGATGCACTTTTCTGTTCTTTGTATGAGTGGGCTTGATGGATTTCAGTCATTGGGTGACTGGTTTGACTGTGCAGTGTGAATATGAACTGTTGGTGTACAGAGATGCATGCATGAGCATCAAGGACTCTGATCTCAAGTCCCATTAGAATCAATGGGAATTTGTCATCTAAAAGCAAGAAAATTCCTGTCAGAACTAGGTCCTTAGAGTCCTAGGACTCAGACACTTTTTGTCTCATGAAAAATGGACAGAATTTCTCCTCAAACAGACAAAACCTGCAAAATATGATTAACAGTACCTGGACAGAGATATTATGAAGCCATTACTTCTGATGTTACAAAGAAGCAGAAAAATAAAAGGTGGGAGAACACTTTTATTGTGATGTTGGTGCCCTGTGGGAGAGTAATAGTGAATAACAGTAGTGTACTGATAGCATTAATTAACCAGGGCTATCAAGATGATGAGTGATGTAGAAGGAAAAAAATATTTTGAGAAAGAGCAGAAGCAATGAAGCACAATAGGGTAGGAAAAGAGCTGAGGAAACAAGCAGAACTGACATGGAACAAATTCTTTTTCAGGGAAAAGAGTGCTTGAAAAAATTTATCATCTTGAAGGGAAAAATAAACCATTGATTCAAAAGCAAAAGAACATGGTAGCAAAATTTGATTGAACATACGTATCCTCACAGAGATGAATGGAAGCAAGATGAAAAATGTGAGAAGAAAAAGAAAATTGTAATCTTCAAATTTCCAACTCTCCAGTGATACAGGGACACATAGAAATGGTATAATAATAGTCTTTTTTTTTTTTTTTTTCCCAGACATACTAAAATAACTGCAAACCTGGACAGATTTTAACAGCAAAGGCAGAAAACCTGGGAATCGATGGATGGCAGCTCATGCAGTTTTAACTGGCTTCAGCCATGTAAATAGTAATTCCCTACAGATGCTGTTTAGCCTTGTCTGCACATCTGAGTGTCTAAGACAAAAATTGTATTTTAAAATCATATACTGATAAAATGGAGATTAGTTTGGAAGGAACCTTAAAAGTCATGTAGCCCTAATTCCCACATTCAGAATGGACACCCCTCACTTGACCAGGCTGCTGAAGTCCTTGTGCAAACTGTCCTTGAACACTTCCAGGGTTGAGGCATTCACAACCTCCCAGGGCAATCTGTTCCAGTGTGTTATCACTCTCACAGTGAAAAAATTTCTTTCTAATATCCAGCCTGAATTTCTCCTCTTTCAATTTGTACCCATTACTCCTTGTCCTATTATCTACAGTGTACAATTATTCTGTTTTGTGATATTCATTCCAATTAGTAGTCAAGTTTTTTAAATTTTATTTTATTGTGAAAATGTAATGAGACTTGCTGTAGTCACGTACATTTCATTAGCATATATCTTACCATTATTATGATATTAAAGTCAGGACAACTTGAAGTGAAAGACTGAAACATAGGGAGGTTGAAAAGCTTTTCTTTCTGATAGTGTAATTGAATTACTGGGATAGATAGGCTCAAATAATACAATATTTGTGTTGCAAAACAATATGTACTCCTGGGGTTTTATCAGTTTTAGTTTGGCCCTTGTTAAAGGTCAAGGTATGTTTCTCTGAATAGAAAACAGCTGAGGATCCTCAGAATGACATAGCATATTTTTCACAGATCATATTACAGTACTATACATAGTCATATTGCTAAGGTCTAAAAAAGCTTTGAGTAAATTTGAACATGTCAATTTTTATAAATAATCTTATAAAAATGAAAATATGCAAAGTAACAATAATTTTCATTTAACTATTATTTAGGTATTTTCTTGTATGATCTCTCACTAACAGATTCAATAATAAAAATAAATAGATAGAGAATGGCTTTGTGAAACATACCAGCTCAAACTATACATTACTATCTCAGTACTTTGTTTATTTCACATAGAAATTACAAGTGAGTGAAATAATGCAATCTAAATAGAAATAATTTTAACTGTATGTTAGCTCGGACATATGGATATGAGAATATGATGTGTGGGAAACATTAACTGCAGGGTAAATAATGCAGAGACTATAAAACTTAGAAGGGTGATAGACATGCCTCTGTTGGAAATGGTCACAACTCACAGGTCATAGTCCAGAATCAGGTCTGGCATGTAAGCAGTATATTTCTAATGAGCAATATTCCTCAACTTCCTACTTAGGCCCGAGCTTTAAAGCTAATTTGGCAACCAAAATAGTCTTTGAAGTAGTTTACATGTTTTGATTATCAAGTTCTTCAGAAACTCTGAAGAACTGATACCACTCAGGCTGTGTTTGCTGGAGTTCCAATCATCTCAAAATAATCAAAGAAAAGGAGTTAGAAACATCAGATTATCCACTTAGTAAAGCATGGGTTGTGCTCATTCCTCATCCTGATGAAGTCTGGTTCAAAGGCTGGTGTCTTCTTACGGGTGTTTCACAGTCCAAAAAATAATTGTGCTACCAGTTCCTCATATAGAAGATTTCTATCTCTCATAACTATTGTAGGAACAATTTAGTTCTGCTGTTGCTTTGTGGTTGACCCCAGTGAATACTGGATGCACTACCTTGTGCTAGTACCAATGATTAAAGTCATCAAAGAATCTCAGATTGCTATGACCACTCAGCTGCTTGAAACGTCAACATGTTTGTATTATTGTCTTCTGCAATATAAAGAAATGCATTCCAACAATACTTTTCTTTTACTTATGTTTTCCCCTGTAAGACTGTATGACCATTGCTAGTATGAAATTCTAGCTAGTATGAAATACTAGCATTTTCCACTTAATCTGGTCTTCTAAGAAATGCAGTACTGTTGAAAAGAAAGAAGGTGGGGAATCAAAGTGTCTCATTATCATTGATCAGTATCTTGCATATGTCTGTTCTTTTGCAGAGGCATATGTGTGCATATATGTGTATACAGATTATTTATGATAGAAGAAAACTTTTATTTATATTAGAAATCCTATTCCATTATCAAACAGCACCTTCCCATTTTAAAAACATATTAATACAAAATTTATCAAAATATTGTCCTATGTATTTAAGACACAGTTTAGTGGTAGACTTGCATTATGTTAGTGGTTGAACTTGATTTTAAGTGTATTTTTTTTCAATTTACATGATTCTCTGATTCTATTTCAGTGAGTTCCTGAGAAGGCAGTTGAGAGAAGATACATTCCAGATTTCTCACTAAGAGCATAAATTATTAAAATTTACAGTAGCAAAATCTTGTTCAAGTATTTCATAAGCAGCTGGAGCTGTATTTCACAAAGAGTGAGTTTCATCAAGTTAGTGATTTCAGGTTTCATGTTTTATTATTATTCTCAATTGAATTTTGTGGCCATGATAATGATATATATCAAATGAATATCCATGCAGCAAAAGATATTTCTTATTCTTAGGAACTTATTAATCCTTGAAATTTTATTGAGTATTATGAACTTTATTTTTAGTGATTTGTATTTTCCAACAAATTTTGTTACTTTATAGCCTTGAAAAACAAGTGCATAGAGGAGGGTTCTCTTAATATTGAATAAGTAATATTTTCTTATTGATATATGTTGATTATATCTTTGCACTATCTGAGCTTTACCTTTCTCCTTGTCTATATTATTTAATAAATCCCTCTAGTTTTTATTAAATCAATGAATTTAATCAGTTATAGAGAGTAGGATTCCATTCCAGTAAACAAATATCAAATACGGGGGAAATATCAATATATCAAAATCTCTATTGATCCAGCTATTAATAGGGCATCACCCATCTGGTTCAGTTCATGGTATCAATCACTTTGGCATTTATAAAAACTGGAGCAAAAACACACTACAAACGTTTAAAAATTCCTGATTTCTTTACCAAGTTAAAGTGTAAAAGATTACACTATATGTAATAAGGTAGAAAGATAAAGTGCATGCAGGTGAAAAAAAAGCAAAGTTCCTTATACGGCAAACAGAATGGAAAAACTTCTGCAGATAAATAGTGACATTGATGAGGCATAAACCAGGAGCAATGCTAGAAGTATTTATATTTCCTCTCCTTTTTTCTTTCATCACCTGTTCCTTCATCATTTAACTTCCATGTTGTTACCTTTGTTTTGACAGCTTATGGGGTGATTTACATTTGCTGCGTGTATGTTTTTGTTCTCTTCATTACTCTATAAACCAGCTCTGCCCAATTTCCAAGACTGCCTTCCTCTAGTGATCAGATATTGACTGTTTCTGATTTGCAGCTACGTGTCCAGAGCCCTGGGCTCATCTGCGTCTGTATTGTCAGAGCATTTGCTGTTATCCTGTGCTCACACAGTTCAGGTACCCTGTAGCAACCATTATTGTATCTATCTTGATGAAAAGATAGGCTGTATTTCTACGTATGTGAACTTGCAATTATTGTGGGGTTTTGCCAGTGTTCATCTTCTATTCTACCACTCCCTGCTGTCACAAGAACTACTGGGTCTAAAACTGAGTCTTGAGCAAAAGAAATCATTAAAAGAGAAATGCTCTCCAGGTTTTGAATGAGTAGGAGCATAAAAAGAGCTGACCTGCAACACATGTTGAAACTATGACAGAATTGAAAGATTGGAGTATTTGTTGTGGGTATGCTCAGACTATGGAGCAGGTATGCAGGTCAGCACTCCCCCTGCGAGACTCTGAAGACCCTTCCTGCTTATGATTTTCTTTTAGCAAAGAACTGTTTACTGTCATGGAGCTGGCACATTGTAATGAATCCAGTTCCACATCCATGATCACAAGCCAGAAAATACTGCTCTGCCTCACTGCATGTAGAAAGAGTGACTGAGCAGTTATACTTACCCAAATTCTGGACTGACTAGAACACTCTCAGAGAATAAAGATGATTACATTGTAAATAAAATGAAGAAAAAAACCCTAAAACCCTGGATTTGACAAAGCCCTGTTCTAATGGAGGTTCTGGAGCTATTTGGCACTGAGTTGTGTTACACACTTCAGGAGTGTGAACCAGAACCTTTTAGTAAATGGACACTGGTGTTGTATTAGTTCCGTCCACATGCATCTGTAAAATCACCATGTTTTTTATAGGATGGAAACCAGACTATTAGAAAAGTAAGAACTTGAAACAAGATTACTTTTCTGGATGTGTTTTATATCTGTAGGAAAGACATCCATCTCACTTTGCCTCACTTTCTCATACTTTTGCAAATTTTGTTAAACAGCAAAATATTAGGCCCAGAATGATACTGTCTAAAAATCAATTCAGTGTTGATATGGAGAGGTTAAAAAAAATGCCACAATCCATGGAGAGTTCCAAAAAGAATTTTGGCATTGGTATAGAATATTACAACATGTAATTTACTGGCAGGTGGTCCGTAGAGCAGGGTTCACAGCTCACAGATGTCCTCAGGAAGTGTTGACTGCATACACACCGGACAGGAAATGACTGGCTTAGTTAACAGTTCTTCAGAAAATATTTTAGCTCATGAGTCAACAGTATCATGCTGTTGAGAAATAAAAAAAGCAGCACACAGATGTATATGAACAGGGAAAACAAATTAAAATAGAAAAGAAGAACTGAATGGTAGAAAAAGATAAATAAGGATAAAAGAGGAAACAGAGCAAGAAAGAGCAAGAAAGAGCAAGAAAGAGCAAGAAAGAGAAAGAAAGAGAAAGAACTAAAGAGAAAGCAAGGGAGAGAAAGAAAGAGAGAAAGAGAGAAAGAGAGAAAGAGAGAAAGAGAGAAAGAGAGAAAGAGAGAGAGAAAGAGAGAGAGAAAGAAAGAAAGAAAAAGAAAGAAAGAAAGAAAGAAAGAAAGAAAGAAAGAAAGAAAGAAAGAAAGAAAGAAAGAAAGAAAGAAAGAAAGAAAGAAAGAAAGAAAGAAAGAAAGAAAGAAAGAAAGAAAGAAAGAAAGAAAGAAAGAAAGAAAGAAAGAAAGAAAGAAAGAAAGGAAGGAAGGAAGGAAGGAAGGAAGGAAGGAAGGAAGGAAGGAAGGAAGGAAGGAAGGAAGGAAGGAAGGAAGGAAGGAAGGAAGGAAGGAAGGAAGGAAGGAAGGAAGGAAGGAAGGAAGGAAGGAAGGAAGGAAGGAAGGAAGGAAGGAAGGAAGGAAGAAAGAAAGAAAGAAAGAAAGAAAGAAAGAAAGAAAGAAAGAAAGAAAGAAAGAAAGAAAGAAAGAAAGAAAGAAAGAAAGAAAGAAAGAAAGAAAGAAAGAAAGAAAGAAAGAAAGAAAGAAAGAAAGAAAGAAAGAAAGAAAGAAAGAAAGAAAGAAAGAAAGAAAAGAGAAAGGAAGGAAGACTTGCTTTATGCAATACACAAAGAGATGACTTCCAACCCTGAAGATGCTCCAAATTCAAGAACAGGAAAGACTTTCAAAAAGTAATAGAGTAATCTCTTATGGCAGATGGGAAGTAAAAAAAAAAAAAAAAGCTTAAATTGCAGTGAGACAATGCAAATCTTGCTAATGATAAGAGTGGTAGCCATTAAACTGCCTGCCTAGCAAAGTTAGAGCCTTTGACACTGAAAATCTGATGGAACAAAATCTGAGGAGAAAAAAAAAGCCAGAAAAATATAGGAAAAAGAAATGGAAATTAGAGACTGAAAGAGGATTTTAGACCACATTAATTGTTGTAAATAAACACCTGAATTTTGTTCCAACTTCAAATATGTATATTTTGATACTGTATTCAGTAACACTATATCAAATTACCATCTCCTAAAGAACATATCACTCTCTGTATTTAGCATCAAACAAAAAGTTTCATGATTTCTAAAATAATAACTAGGCATGATCACAGAAAATAGTTTTATGTCTATTTCATCCCTATGGTCAAATGAATCTTAAAAAATGTTTTCTTAGTTAGTGTATTATGTGTGTTTCCTCTCTATAGCCCCAAATCTGGTTATTATGGTATTCATATGGAGGACAGAGCTTTCATCTTCCATCTTCTGGCAGAGGAAGATACTGAATATGGTCTCCTGCTATCTAAAGTTTGGATATATGCTCTAGATCAATTTGAGATATTGCATTATGTAAGTCCCAATTATTCTATCTTTATTTTCCTATTAATTTATTCCGTATTACTGCTGTTTCAAAAAAACACACACAGAAAAATTGACACTAAAAATCCTATTGAAAGAACTATTATTTTCAATGACATTTGCTGATTTTACATAGACATAGTTTACAATGCTTATTGACAGTTGCTGAAGTTATAGATTTTTAATCCAAAATGCTTTGACATCATTGTCAATAACTATTCTATACAGAGGCTTGAAAATTAAAATGTTATTTTAAAAGGTAAAAATTTCAATACTAATTTCCATGAAATGCTGGTGTTTAAACAGAATGCCATTTTCAAGAATAACCTTGAGTTCAGCTTTGAAGAGAGAAAATCTTTCCTGTTTTCTGTGACAAATGTGAAGAGTTAATACTTGGGAAGTGCCGAGATAAATGCTTATTGATGACTCAGTTAACATCTTGGAGTGAGCAGAGTATAAACAGGCAAAATATCTCTTCTTTTTTATAGCTCAACAAGCAAGGGAATGCAGTCATAAAAAAAGGAAATGTAATGAAATGAAATCAAAACAAACAAAAGACAAACTCTCAGACTGTGGTGCTGATGACTCATTTTCAACCTCCTTTTCAGATTGTCACTTTATTTTCTAGGTTCGACTCCTCACCCGCGACTGCTTGAGTGACATTTATAAATGAAAATGTGGGACTTAATTAGGTAAGCCTTCCTAACGTTTTGTGTGCATCTTACATGTATTTAATTCCATCTTTGGATGTGCAAGATAAGTTGTTTCTAGGTGAGGAGAAGGGCGCCCAACGGCAGCGAAGCGCTGAGTCCCAGAGCGCACAGCCGGTGCTCCGCGCCAGGCTGGGGGACTGATGCCACCGAGCCCGCCCAGGGGACGTGGCTGTCGGGAGCTCCCTCCACTTGGACTCAGCCTGAGACATAGGGTGGCTGCTAGATGAGTGAAGAGAACCATCAGCTCCACAGCAGCCCAGCAGTGGCTGGCATTGCAGAGGAATTTCAATTAGTCAGGTGACAATCAGATGCAGTCCCCAAGGAGACAGCCACCACCTCTTCAGCACAGTGCTCAGTCACTGCTGCAAAAAGGTCAGTTGTGACACCACGTACAACATCAGGTGGGAAAGTAGCTGCTTGAAGACACTTGTCCTCTCTGCATGGTTTAATTTAAAAACTGAGATCTTCTATTCAGTGTTTGAATATGAATGAGTCAGTCGTAAACAAAGAACAAAAATAGATGAGTCTGGTGTGGAGAGGTAGCTGAGTCATTCTATAAACCCTTTCCCTTAAATGTAATGGCAGAGGTTTTCTTTTTTGACACAATAATTGCTATTTTAGCTTAATGAGCTATGAGACTTTTACAGTGAAATGGCTCCTTAAAATTACTGTCCCATTCAGTGCCTCCACTTTTAAACTTTTCTATCCATGATTTTACTTCTTGATCACTGTGAAAAGAAACCAAAAATATTTTCTTCAGGAGCTTTATTTTGAGTTTAGCTATTTATTTAAATAAACAGTGTTAGAATTTTGTACCTCTTTATCTCGTGAAGATAACATTTCTTCATTGTACTATACCTCTTATGTAATTTAAAAGGGGTACACAACCAAATGTTGGCATTAAATCTTTGGAGTTTTGATTCAGAGGAAGAGGTGAGCACAGAAGAGAATTGTTTCTAGTGTGGATTAAAATAGCTAAAATATTACTAGAAAACATTCAAGGTTTCAGCAAACATATCCACTGTTTGAACGAGAAAACTTTACACAAAACATGAAATAAAATTTCTTTTCCTTCCTCACTACAACTTTGAAAAGACAACATATTAATAAAGCAATATTATTCCACAGAAACTGATAAAATTTATCTTCTTTATACTTACATACTTTATTTATACTTTATTCTTCATTATACTTTTATACGATATTGTATGTATGCTTTAAAATAAAAGAAAAAACTTATTATCTTAAAATACATTACCTACATAGATTTACTGCTTTAAAAGGCTAAATAAATTTTAATGCCATCTAATAAATACCTGGAAAAAAACTAATACTGTTTTGGATGCATATTTCCACTAAAAAATTTACTGCAAGCAAAACAAAAATCTAAGTCAGAACATGTTCCTCCTGTTACCCTTGATAACATTAGTAGTAGCTACATAAGACAGAATATTTAAAATCAGCAGAACAGGATTTTCCTGAGTAACAGGTTGCAGCAATAGTTAGCAAACACTATTCTTGGGTCTACAAGTAGAAATGTTGAGTATAAACCAGCTATTTTACTGCGTTCAGAGCTGATAAATCCTTGGCATTTCAAATGTGGGCTGATTTAAGTTCAAGGGAGGGGTTCAAGGGAGGGCAGGAGGCATTTCAAAGTTCTGGAAAAATCAAACACCAAAAGGAAGATGAAAGGGTTACATATATTTAGACTAAGAAAAGGAAAAGACAGTAGCAGTGTTCATATGTATTAAACATAGCTTTTAAGGAGTTTATTCTTTCTCAAAACTCATTTCTGATCAGACATTACACAGCAGAAGGGAAGGTCTGTGTTGGGATGTGCAGCTGTGCAGTACTCCAGCTGTTTGTCGGGAGGCTGTGGCAACGCCCTCCGATCCTCTTCCTCAGAACAGGCTGTAAAGGTGTTTGTTCAGAAATGGCACAGATACAGCTGACCCAACATTTGCAAAGGATGTGGGAGTAAAATCTCTCTTCTAATATTAACAGCCTCAATTTCTGCAGTTTTGGTGATTTTATTATCCAGCTTCGTTATACATATTATTATGCAGAAAATAAAATAATGAAATAATTCATTCAGAAAGTTGAATTCGAAGCAAAATTTTTGAAAAAACTGAAACACAGGGCTATTTCCTGGAAATTAACACTTTCATTTAAAATTTGCAGCAATTATTATCAGATTAAAATAATATTTTATCTTCAAATGTTCTAACTTTCCCATAATTATTATATTATTACTCTATATAATTATTTCATTGCTTGCACACTGGCATTTTGCACATCATATATGTAAATAAAGTATTTAATTTACCAGTAAATACCAGCATGTAACAAGTTTGATAAAAATAGCAGCTTGGGCTAGTGACAGGTTTAGAAATTTCATGCCAATCCAACTGAATACTACAAAATATAGCTGTGAATTCTTTTTCTTTTTTCGGTCTCCTTAAATGTTTTACATTGGTCAATGAGGATGAGACAAATTATAAATTAATTTTAAGAACTATAATGGATGGCAATTACATCTTTACTAATTCATATTTTCATTATTCTAATTATCCTTACAATAGATGTTCTGCCTCATTGTTCACATGACAGTTTGCCAGAGAAGTGCTGTATCAGAATGCTAATAACTTGCCACATCCCCTCTTTGACAGTTGATAGTAAACCTCAAATATATGATTTTACTGATGTTCAATAGGTTTGTTCAGCAGGTCCATATCACTTTAAAGTTGTAGGAACCCACATTTTGATATCTATTCCCTCTAAGAATGGAATAGATATCAAAATACAGAAAAAGTTGGACCATGCTTTTTAAATTACATTTTAAAAAACTACCAAATATTGCAATTTAAGCATATCTTTTAAAACTAGAAGATTCAGGATATACTAGACCATTTTAAAATAAACCATTCCTATAGTTCATCTAGGAAATTAATGTTTGCTTACTGAAGTCCCATATATTTTATCTGATAAATATTCTTTTCTAATATTCAACCAGCTAAACATCACATGTGCTTTTGATCAAAATCAATTCAACCTTTGTCTTGCCATATATTTCCTCAATAATTGAGCAGATTTTCTTTGGTTAAATTCTGTTTAGAAATATGGTATCTTAGTAAAATGTAATTAGTTTATTTAATATTGATATTAATATACTCATGTACATAGTCCAGAGCTGTATCCATCTCTGGGATCCCCAGCAGGGGAAGGACATTGAACTGTTGGAGCAAAACCAGAGGATTGCCACCAAGTTGATTAGTGGGATGGAGCACCTTTCTGACACAGAGAGACTAAGATAATTGTATTGTTCAGCCTGTAGAAGAGAAGGCTACAGGGTGACCTCATTGTGTCCTTCCAGTACCTGAAGGGAGCCTACAGGAAAGCTGGAGAGAGACTTTCTACATGGCCATGGGAGAATGGCTTCAAACTGAAAGAGAGTAGGGTGAGATTCAATATCAGAAAGAAATCCTTTGCTGTGAGGGTCGTGAGGCACTGGAACAGGTTGTCCAAAAAGGTTTTGGATGCCTCATCTCTGAAAGTATTCAAGGCCAGGTTGGATGAGGCTCTGAGCAACCTGGTTTACTGGAAGGTGTTCTTGCTGTGTTAGGAGGGTTAGATCCAGATGGATTTTAATGTCCCTTCCAACCCAAATCATCCTATGATTCTAGGATATCAATTGCCCAAAATAATTATGCATATTCATGTCAGCATGCATATAAATTAAGCTGGTGGATAATCATCCCACTCTGTAAAATATAAATATTCATTTGATTTTAAGTTCACTGTCTTAGACATTCTGGCTTTCTTAAATGTGAGAAGGTGCTTAAGTGCTAGGCAGTGATGGGGTCCAAAGTGATAAATGAGTAATTTATTCAGCGTGAAAGATAAAAATAAGAAGCATGCTGCTAATCATCTAACCTTAATTTCTACAATTCACCAGACTCCCAAATTCATGAGAAACAAACTTAACCTTGGAACCAGACTGAAATAAATTTTTGTGGATCAAAAGTTGATTCTGTGTTTGGATGAGAGTAAATTAACTGATCTTTATAGAGTGGACTATTATGGTTTAAAAGCAACCAGATGAAGCAAAGGACAAGACGAAGGATTCAATTAGTCTTGGATTTGACAGAAGTTACTGGAACAATGGAATTGGCATGAGAAATAAAACTTCCTTTCTACTTTATCAATATCCTTCCATAGGGAAAATTCCAGCATTTCTTATGAGTTTACTGAAGGCTGTTGCCATAAAACAGAGGGGTTGCATAGAAATTCTGTCTTGAAGAATTGAATTTGAGACAAGGTCAGGATGTTCACCTACTTATTTCAGCTCAAGATGTTGTTTTTGATGGAGACATCTTATCTGCCTAAATATTTGGCACAAACATTTCATTTTATTAATTTAGTGTTATTTGAAAACAGGAAGGAGTTCAGTGCAAAAAAGGAGATATTTACACTTTTACAGACTTGGGTCACCTTTTGTTTCTTGTTCTAACATAATTTACATTGGAATATAACTCAATAGTACTGAATTCAGCCCACTGAAGCACTTCTGCCTGTTGAATCCTGGATATCAGATGAAGCCAAATGTCACAGGAGTATGAATTAGTCATGTTTCTGCTCTCATGATCATCATGAACTCTTTGACGCAGTAGTAAGGAAATAATTCATCTGCCTGGTCCCTTTGTCAGTTAATTCAAATGTCAATGGACAATTAGAGTTTCTGCACTCCAAAATTCTTTACTATATCAATCTTTATGGCTCTTCAGCAGTCTCACCTAAGAATCCAAAAACTTACATCTCATGAATCCTTAATAAAAGAAATTGCCCCAATACTGAGATAATTCACATAATAAAGCTGCATATCAGCCCAACTAAAGTGACTATATCTTATAGTCAGTTACCCCTTTTTCTTGAATAATAACGTAATATCACTTGTCTTCAAAAGTCTATGAAAACATCAT